ATTACATTACATTACATTTCATTACATTTCATTACATTTCATTACATTTCATTACATTTCATTACATTACATTACATTACAATATATATATATATCCTCCCAGTTCCCACAAAGCCCAAAAGCCCTAAAGCAACATATCTGTGTGGGCTTGTGCAGGGTTTGTAAGGGTTCTTACACAGATTCTCGAGTCCGAGAAGCTGATTCATATCGGAGTATGTGTCCCTAACCTCCCAGGTACCTACGATATGGGGCCCTAGGGGCTCTAGTACCCTATATAGTAGGTACCTGGGGAGGTTAGGGTGTTACAGAACTAGATAAAAAAAATCGTTGCTGTGGCTTGAAGGTCTCCTCGTTGTCTAAAGCCTTTTGGGGATGGGTCTTGCAAGGCTCTTGGCGCTTGCCTACCACAACCTGCTACTTGCTTCTATACTTCACAAGTAGATTCTTGCGCTGCGCGTTCTGCGCGATACTCCCTCCTCCCCCCGCCCGCCGCTCCCTAAACCCGAAACTTCGAAGCCGAAGGCCCACACCATTCGGGGGGGCGGGGGGGGGCCTGCCCGGGCGCAACCATGCATCGGGGGCTTGGGGCTGGGGCTTATGGAAAAGGGGTTTAGCTACAGCGTATCATATTCTGACTCCACTTCATCCTGACTTTAGCCATAAAAACTGTTACAGTATTCTCAATGACGCCGTGGGTTTGTGTTGAAGAAGCAAAGTGCGTGGCCTGTTATGTTTTCAGCTCGAGGACTTCCATTGTTCGGAATCCGGGTTGCGTCAGAGTTGCTCGAACGGGTTGCATTTGAGGCTTCAGGGGTTTAGGGCTTGACGTTTACGATTTGGGGTGCCCACCCGTGCAATTAGGATCCAACAAAGTCTTCCGCATCGATAAAGGCAAGAATAATTTCAGTAGGGCTTTGGGGCACAGTAGCAAAAAAAAGTTTAGGAGCCCGAAAGAATCGTGTTGGGAAAGTCCTGTGCCGGCCTCGAGATGACATGATTCTCTGGGCCCAGGATCGCTGCTGTTCAGGCCGAAGCCGGCTTGTTGCTCGGGCTTAGAGCATCAAGGCTGTAAGCCATACACCCAAGTCCGAAGCTTTTGCTGCAGGAAGGAAGGGAGGAAGGGAGGAAGGGAGGAAGGGAGGGAGGGAGGGAGGGAGGGGGAGAGACAGAGCCCGAAAAAAGAACAAGCACTCAGACATTGTCCCAGTTGTCCCGCCCAGTGCATATTAAGCATGCAATGGTTCTTATACTGAACAGCCAAGTCTCTGGGTTGTGGTTCGTGATATCCAAGAGGGGGCATAAAGCTGCCGGACAGTCGTTTACCAAGCTTTTTTCCTCCGTTTCGAGAGCTGGGAGCTCCGGAAGCTCATGACCGTCGCTGTGAAGCCAAGTGGACAGCTGCTTGTTGGAGAAACAACGCGAGGACAGAGAGGACCGGGCCCAAAGGAATGCTTGAAACGTGTAGCGCTCGGCAGGGAAGACACTGGGCAGCTGTTGAGACAGAGCAGGGAATAGTGAGTCGTAGACGTCACGGAGCTGGGCCATGTGACGCGCGGCCTCGTGAAAGAGCTGGGTGCCCGCTAATCGTTCTTGTCGCTCGCTGTCCGTCCACCACAGAGGATCGTTGTGTGTAGCTGGAATCAGTCTCAGGTAGCTGTGCCACCTGCTTGCTGGGTTATGCCAGCCGTCCAGCATGACAATGTACATGAGCGCTTGCGCACTGACTCCCCTGTTGCGGGCGGCGGCGCTGCTAAGGACTGTCTGGCCTATCTCCGTTTTCGCAGCTGCAGCGACGGTCAAAAGGGCATCTATCGGGACTGACAGACCAATCTCACCAGCTTTTATGTCCTGCGCGGCCAGCAAGCCCAAGCCCGACGACGTTTGTTCTATGCGCACCCGGCTCATTTCACAAGACTGCTCCTGGCACCACTTGCAGAAAGCTTCTATCATGGCCCTGGACTCGTCAGCAGCTGCCATGGATCAGAGGCAAGCTGGAGCTCAAGTAAAAAGGGTTTAGAGTTTAGAGCTTGAAGGCCTTAGGGTCTATAGGGCTCAAGGGCTTAAGGATTAGGGAGCTCTTCATTGATATCCGAGAGGCTCTCAACTGCTCAGCTGCGTGGAAGACGCAGCTACATGCAGGGTACCAGAGAACGTCAAACTTCCTGAACCCCTGAATGAACGAACCCATAGACCCTGAATCCTGAAGCCTTGCCTAAAGGGCCTAAACCCTTCTGATCTGGTAGCCGACATGAGCTCTGGCATCGTTCAAGGCTGCCGAAGCTGAAGCAGACTTCAACAGGTTGAAATACTGCGGCTCTCGGCGCTTAGGGACTATGAGGGCTTCTTTTATTCAGAATAGGGCTTTGGTTTGGGGGGATAGCTTTAAACCATAGGATAAGGGTTTCGACCCTCACACTCGCAGGCAGGCAAGGCTCCTAGGGGTGTCAGGCCTAGGGGCTTGAGGTATACATATATTTGTATATAAGACAACTACAAGTTTGATGACTATTTGTTCAGGCTTCCACAGTACACCTTCCAACACAAATGCAGCTTTGCACAAGCAGATGCCCGAACCTCCCGGGATGTGTGTATATATATATATATAGAGAGAGAGAGAGAGAGAGAGAGAGAGAGAGTCCAATAGATGGCATCCCTTTCCTAGGCTTTACTTTACAACACCCTGTGTATCGTAACCCTCAACCCTAATCGTAGCCTTTACAGAAAAACCCACAAGCGGGTGAACCCGGAGCCGGTTCTGGGGTGGCTCTTGGAACTGTCGGGCTTGGCATGCTTGGTGCTCTTCGGATTTAGGGTTTGGGTTTAGGGTTTAGGGTTTAGGGTTTAGGGTTTAGGGTTCAGGGTTCAGGGTTTAGGGTTTAGGGTGCAGACTTCAACGCAAGGTCCAAAACCAAACAGCCGAGCCACGCCAGCAGGCAAATGTCCTCAGCGCAGGTTTGGAGTATGACCAGTTGTTATGGCGGTTGCCGGCAGCTTTCCCAGCCACTCTCCCATTCTCTCTGTCTCCCTCGCATCCGCAAGGATCCCTGCCATATGTGAGCGGACAGAACTCCACGTGCTATGGAGCAAACCCCACAACTGGAGTTTTCAACCAATGAGCCTGAGATGCGTCCACTTCACCCATCAAGTGTTTAGGGTGAAATCCATGGATACCCTCTGGTACCGTACCCTCCTTGGCCACGAATCCCTTGGAAGTGCCGCGCCTACTTCCAGAAGCGACTTGCAGAACCCGATAACCATCCAAAACCATCATCTAACACCATCAAAAACCCCTAAAACCATTAAAAAACCCTCTAAAACTCTAAGACCATCTACAACCACCTAAAACCCCAAACCGCTCTAAAACCCCTAAACCCCGCACCCAAAGCCTCAACCCTAAACTCCCAAGTCGGTAGAAGGCTTATGACACGATGCAGGCTCCTGACCCGAAAGAGACCCTGTAGGGTTTAGGCTTTAGGGTTTAGGGTATAGGATTTATAGGGTTTAGGGTTTAGGGTTTTAGGGTTTAGGGTCCAGGGTTTAGGGTTCAGGGTTTTATTCTCTAGGGTTTAGGGTTCAGTTAGGTTCCAGGGTTCAGGGTTTAGGGCTTTGTTCTCTAGGGTTCAGGGTTCAGGGTTTTATTCTCTAGGGCTTAGAGGTTTTAGTCTCTTAGGGGTTACATGGGGTTACATTCGGTTGACCGCGGTCTTCTGGGCCTGCTAAAAGCCTGCGATTTCGGATTAGGGCCAGGGTTTTAGCATGGTCCGCGCAGTGGGGCTGACGGCATGAACGAAGCGATGCGGCTCAACTGACACTGACTCAATTTACCATGAGGGACTTGATTAATCGACTGTGGTTTTGGGCTGTGTCGGGATGTATTGTGCTGAAGTTCCAATGGCACTACTAAAGCGAAATCAGTAGTACACATGCTGTTTCTGACGCCAATTAGTACAAGGACCCGACCAATTTAGTGCTTGACTTTGGGGTAGGAGCGGGGAGAAAGACTGGAACCTGAAGCCCTACGGTGTGCGATTTCATGAAGCATCCCCAAAACATGTAGCATCTGGGAGCTTCAAACAAAAAGAAGGGCACCAATCGACATCGTTCTTACGTGAGTTCCTTATTGAATTCATGCCTTGAAGTTCCAGAAGCCCGCAGTGAACCCCTAAACTTGATTTAACACCCTAAACCCCAAACCCTAAAACTAATAGCCATGTCTCCATGGACAGCGATAGCCACAAGGGCTCCGGGATACCAGCAGCGCGCCGATCGATGTCCGCGCAAGAGAGATAAGCGTCGAACCTCCCAACGCGGGGTTTCCAAGAGAGCCTAGTACTTGCCCACAAATTCCTCAGTACCTATATGGCAAGTAAGGTTTCTAGAATCGGAGATCCCTAATCTGGAGCTCTATGGGCTCTCTATCCTCAATTGCAGAAATCCTTCTTCTTTTTAAGCCTTTTTGAGGTGTTGCGGGTAGTTTTCGCCGCTCGCTCTTCGGTAGCCTCGTTGAGGGTTTGAGCGGTTGGGCTTTCGCGAAAGTTGCCTCACACTGATGGCAGGAACAGCTTGGAGGAACCCTTAAGGAAAACCCATCAAATCCTTATATTGCCCCTTCATGACTCTGGTAGACTCCTACAGTAAACCCCAAAAGGAATCCATGTCATCGGCGGAAGCGAGCAAGGGAGAGGAGTTCGGAAAGGGTTTGGGTTGTAGGGGACAACATCTTATCCAAGCTCCCGTGCTTCATGTCTCCGTTACAGTTTAAGATTCAAGCATTATACGTAGGGTTGACAGATGGTGGGGTTCAGGGCCATACATGTTCTTACGGCATTGGCAGAAGGTGAGCAAACAGACCTCTGGAAGCTCTTTGCAAACTAAATAGGCTCGGAGGACGGGCGAGTAGCTTCGAAGTCCCGCCTTGCTTTGAATAACCCGAAAGAGACTGGCAAAGATTCACGGGACTGATGTATTCATAAGTTGATGATGCCAAAGAGCCCTATATGGATGCAATAGCTACGTCGTGGAACTCTGTAAGGAACAGCCATACTAGTTATTCAGCTTCGCCACGCCGAATTGAAAGCTCCGGTTTAGTGCGCTGAGGCTTAGGACTTAGGAATGGAAAACATGTACCGCTACAATCTACATCAATATGTCGATCTCTGTCGGATTACGGGGGTTTCGGGGTTGAGGGCCTATACAATTTGCAGAAGCCTGGAATCCCCAACTTGCATCGCAGGGGCAGGGTCAAGAGGCCAAGGCAGTTGCCAGTGATAGGGTGCTTGAGAAAGGTGGTCACCAGTTGAATATGCCTTCGAAAGCTCAGAAGCTGGCTGCACAGAAAAGATCTCGAGGCCCCAGCCAAGAAATACAGCGACAGTGAAAAAAACACCGGCCGACTGACAAGATATTTTGCACTTGGGCATGCAAAGATATACAATGCAGAGAGACGGACAGAGACCTGACGCGACATCCCAGCAAACCGCACGTTGGGACGGCCAAAGGCGCAGCTTCAATTTTCATACGCCCACCTTCATGCACATCAGTCTTGATTACTTTTCGGTGTTGGGCCTGCTTAAGTTCAGGGATGATAGTGAATTATAGTATGCTACCATAGTAGGGTATAGTAGATTATACACCGAGCTTCTGAGCAACTGGGCGCCCTGCCGGCTCTGGCTCACTGCCACTGTGTTCCCTCTGGTCATGATGAAGTTGGAAGTCACGCCACCGGTTCCTCGCTTGAGGGTTTCGGGCTTTAGGGTTCTCCAGGGTTTTAGGGTTTCAGGGTTTTAGGGCTTTAGGGTCTAATGTTTTTAGGGTTTTAGGGTTTAGGGGTTTCAGGGTTTAGGGTTTTAGGGTTTTAGGGTTTCAGGGTTTAGGGTTTCAGGGTTTCAGGGTTTAGGGTTTTTCAGGGGCTAGTACAAACAGCAGTCTAGGTTGCGGGTTTTGGGGTCTATAGGGAGCAGTTGAGGTCCTTTGAACGTTTAAGGCTTCTTGCTGCCACGGTCTGGGGGTTTAGGCTGTGATAGCTGAATGCCAACATATCTGCAGCGGACATGCACCCTGTTGCAGAAAGCGGGTGCATTCCCCTTTCCACCTTCCGCCAGCCAAAAGTCGGGTCGTCGGGTCTTAGAGTAGTAGTAAGGCCTCGGGTTTCCTTGTAGTTCCTAGCTGTTAGCTGCTGGCTACATCGGCCAGAGTTTGCTGCAACCACATTGTGCCCAGTCACTCGCCCCAGATGTGCTGCTCATTCCTGCGGTGTGTTTGGGCTGCCCCAGCGAACACAAGATGGACCATGAAAAGGTGATGCGACAACGACGGCAAAGGCAAAAGCATGCGACGACGACGACCACCACCACCACCACCATCACCACCACCAGCAGCAGCAGCAACGGAAACAGCAGCAGAGACAGCGGCAGGAAGCAGAAACAGCAGAAGCAACAGCAACACCTCCAGCATCGACACCAACCCCAACAACGGCTACAGTTACAGCGTTCAGCAACGAACAACCACAACAGCAACCAACAACCAACCCACAAACGCAAAGGCAGCCACAACGACCACAGCAGCCAAGACAAAAACAGCCACAACCACCACAACAACGACGACGACGGCGACAACAGCCATAGCCCAGGCTAGAAAGAAACAGCATGAGCAGTAGGCGTGGCAGCAGCAGCAGCACCACCACCACCACCAAAGCAGCAGGAACAACAGCAGCAGCACCAGCACCAGCA